TTGCCCCTTCAGACTCCAACGAAAGGGATGAGGTTTCGTCACGTTATGCACTTCAAGTACATTCACTATTTCATTTATAACGTTCACATCGAAGCCGTTCGTCATAAACGAACAGTTCTATGTATTATAACAGTGGCACGTGCAAGAAAGCACTGTGTTATTCTATTAACACTATTCACTTTTATTTCCTTGCAATCACACATTTTTCATTCAGAAATTGCAAATCTAGAATTCACACAGTAGCTCTGATATTTTAACATCTTCAAGAAATCACTTTATTTTCAACCATATGAACAGAAAGTGCAAAAGTTTATTATAGGATATACAAAATAACTTTAAAGAGAATGTTGGAAGTTACCAGTACTGCAAAAAAATTAGAATGGGCAAATGGGGAATGACCATGACAATCAACTTTAGGATCATAAGGATAAAAAAACTGACACAGGTTTGTTCATCCTAAATAAATAATTCAAACTAAATGCTGATAATTCTTGTAGGTCTGTATGACCTCCCTTGCAGTGTTTGGTCATGAAAATAAGAAACTCTGGGAACATTATTGAGGGACAGCAGCTGATTCCAGTGATATTTTGGAGCCAACAAAGGAGAAGAAAGCTCGAAAACCAGTAACGTACCACATCAGTGCAAGGACTTTTAAAATAGTGTTGTCTTACTTTAGATACTGCAGAAGAAAAAGCCTACAATCATATTCTTCAATGTTCAAGACTGTTCACCCGCAAGTTTCAGTTCACCAAAATAAGATCACGGAACTTCACGCATGTTGTTGAAGAGTTCTGCAGCGAAACACGACTGTGTCCAGCAACCTGAAGAGCGTCATTCTGTACATTGATAAATGTATTAATTCTAACTAGGAACGTTTTTTGTACATAAATAGGAATTAGATCATATTTCTCACATCTATTTCACCCCAGCTCATCTTCCATACATTGAAAGTACATTTAAAACCTCAGAACTACAACCATTTTACTTTCAATTACAATTATTTTATGAAGGTCGGTAAGGTGTTTGGGGGCCTGGCGTACTCAAGGTCTTCAGCACCACATCATTCATCTCGTCACAGTGAATTTGAGATTAATTTCTAGCTGCGATGACGACTGATAAAGCTACACCGCCAATCGCAATGGCTGTTGCCCCAAAGAGCCACTTCCAGCTGAGACTCTGTAAAAAGACATAACTTGTTTAAAAGAAATACTTCACACAAAATGAAAACTGTCATTATTTATTCATCCTCATGTTGTTTTAAACAACCATATGTGGCTTTTTATTATATTTTTCAGAAGTCTCTTTATAGCTTTGTGGGATGAACAAATTAAAATGCAACTTATTATTGGCTGATCATTTTCTGCACCAGTGAGGTTTGAGTTGAACTTCAGAATCAGAATCGTCAATGAATCGTTCAGTCTGATTTATGAACCAGATTCACTAGAAAAGAAATGGCTTTAATGAATGATTTGCAAAAAGCGGCGTTCAGTATCAGATTCTAACGTAATTGTCGGTGCACCGCATTTTATACTGCCTCTCGAGGGCCTCAGTATTTGCATGCGATTTGCATACTTCGCTACAATTGGCCAGTCATTTGGACTGGCGTGAGCCAATAGGACTTCAGGAAAGATTGGAAGGGAAGGATACATGGTGATGGGAAAAAAATTAGATGGGAGGAAAATTAAAATTTAAATTCATTCACGTTCTTTAAAAAAGCTGCTATTTTCCTTTTACAGTACTTTGATTCAGTGGATCCGAGTCAGAATTGTTAACTCGAGATCCACTCAGATTGATTCAGTCCACTGTAAACCGTTTGAGTAGATCAGACTCAAAAGAACAATTCTTTGATGAATCGGACATTGCAGGAAATGATGGTGAAGGGAAAAAAATGAGATGGGAGGAAAATTTATTATTTAGATTTATCAATTTTTCATGCCTCATGAATAATTTCAAAGCTTTTGTGTTTTCTTCCCTTGCTAAACAGCTGACTGAATAAAATGAGGTGCGAGGAAAAACTGTATTTCAAAGCTTCTTCTGGCAAATGCAATATTTTAGTGAAAAAAATGTAAAGTTTCTTGGAGGAATGCAATATTTTTGCGAGAGAATGCTAAATTTCTCAAGGGAATGCAATACTTTTGTGAGAGAAAGTAAAAGTTTTGCAAGAGAACGCAAAGTTTCTCATTGCAATGTAATACGTTTACGAGAGAATGCAAAAGTATTGATATATAATTTCACGTCACCATGTCCCCTTAGGGGCTCATATATTCAATCATGAATCTGACTGATCCAGTTCTCGAGTTCAATTCAAACTCGATGCACTCACAGAGATTAAAAAATTTTTCCTATTACAAATAATGGGGGGAAAATAGCTATGTATGAATTTGGAACAACATGAGGGTGATTAAACATTTTTTATTCATTAATCACTTTTTATTTATAACCTTTAATAGGGTAAGGCATAAATGTGCACTTTGTCATCTGTAAAACCCACTTCCTGTTGAGAGTAAACAGACATGCAACCTCATAAATAAACCGTGCATCCTGTTAAATAGTTGAAAAAGGGCTATTTTAAGCTCTCACCCATGAGGACTTGGCACGGTGTTTCTGCACACTGGCGTTCGTTGGGTTACCCAGCATCTTTTTATACATGGCCTGTTCGGCTCCTTTCTGCTCGGAGTGTTTCTTCACAAGTTTCGACAGCTCAGCGTGGATGGTCTGCCGAGGAAAGGGCAGAGAGAGTGAAAAGCGTGTGTGTGTGTTATCGTCAGGCTGATGAAACTGTTGCTCACTGCAGCACACCGACACATTTGGGCGGGCACCAAAATGATTAAACATGACAGTGCTGCCTGCCAGAGATTGAGTGAAAGCAAGATATAAACCAATTCAAGATTAAAAACACATTCACGTGTTTTCCAATATCAGCTGCAATGCCACAGAACACAAAAGCAGAAGTGAAAGCATCTTGTACTAATGAAACGTGTCTTTATAATGGGTCACACAAATATGCATGATAATTTTTCTCTTATGTAACCTCAAAATCAAGACCCTGGAGTTTTATTCTCTCCATACCTGAGTGAAGAGGTTTAGATCTGCTCTAGTTTTAGCCAATGAGTGTGCAGACGATAAATGAGAATGCAAAAAATCATTTTGTTATATTTAGTTCACACACTTGTTTCTGCCAATGCCGAGGAGTTCGATTCATTTAGTGAATCAGTTTACTCAGCTGGTTTGTTTCAATTAACCAGTAAAAATAAGCAGTTTATAATTTAATTTTGAATCAACACTACAAATCTCAAGTGATCTTCTTGTAGAATGTTTCATGATTCAATAGCTGAATCTTAATTCTTCAAATTAATCTAAATTGTTCAAGTGGACTGACTCGTTGAACAGTTGAATCTGAACTGTTCATATTTTAGCAAATCAAAAACAATGGAGTGATTCAAGAAATAGTTCATTGACTGAAGATTCATTTATGAACTGATCTGTTCAAGAGTTGAGTGTGAATCATCATTTAAGTGAATCTGAATCATTCAGTTTTACGTGAGTGAATTGGTTCATTCATTCAGTTTGCTTCAATAGACTGGTTTAAAAAAACAGTTCACATATTCATTTTGCATCAGAACTACATATTTCATGTGATTTTATAAAATGGCTAATTTATGAATTGATTTGTTCAACAGTTGAATGTGAATACTTCAAGTGAATCTGAATCATTCAGATTTATTTTAGCAAATAAGTTCACTCAGTTTGCTTGAATGGTCTGATTCAAAAACAGTTAATTGATTAATTTCAGGACATCGTTAAATATTTCAATTGATCTTGTAGAATGTTTCATTTACAAACTAATTCGTTCAACAGTTGAGTGTGAATTGTTCAAACAAATTTGTTTCAGCAAATCAGTTCACTCAGACAGTTTGTTTCACTGAACTGGTTTTAAAACGTTTGTTGATTTGTTCTGAAGAACGATTCAAATCCCTGATCCACACCTTATATGGTTACTTAAAAAGTGGCATTATGATGAAGAAACACTGCTAAATCAAAGTGTAACATATAAACATCAAAATTACAATTCAAAACATGAGGTTAAACAATTTAAGGCTAATTAGATTGAATATACAGTGTCATTATTAATAATAAGCAAGGAGCGAGGGCTGTGAATGGCATTTTGAAAGTAAACTTTCAGGAGCCACCCGAGTCAAACTACACCATGACAACCTGCCATTTACTTTAATTACTGGCTAATGACTAAAACAAGTATGGTAAAGGCAAAGTGGCGAGATGGGATCAGATTGGATGAAGGAATTCTGCATTGGAGCGTCTCTATAGGCCAGACACATGAGAAGAGCGAGGTGTAAATGTGCAGACGTAGGTGGCTTGGCAGTGGCAGGCTGGTCATACAGCAGTCAGGAGCTGTCAGATGGAGGGACACAGGGAACCTCATCTGTCCGCCTGTGTGAGCAGAGCAGGCCAACGCTGCTTTAGATATGGTACGTGTGCGGAGGGACCCGGCTATTTATAGACACGGAAAGAAATGCGATCCTAGGAGTTTTTGAACACTGTTCTTTCTGCAGTCTGACTGAATTTGAGAGTCTGCAGCGCCATCTGCTGGTTATAATGGGAAACGCACATGATTCTGGGACCTGTTATACAAGTAGTTCTTAAAGGGGTCATATGATGTTGCTAAAAAGAACATTATTTTGTGTATTTGGTATAATGCAATGTGTTTACGCGGTTTAAGGTTCAAAAAACACATTATTTTCCACATACTGTACATTGTTTCTCCTCTATGCCCCGCCTTTCTGAAACGCGTCGATTTTTACAAAGCTCATCGGTCTGAAAAGCGAGGTGTGCTCTGATTGGCCAGCTATTCAGTGCGTTGTGATTGGCCGAATACCTCAAGCGTGTGACGGAATTGTTATGCCCCTTACCATACTGTGATGCCGTGTCCGGCCGGAACAACGAGACAAAAACATTAAAACCCATTATAAACGAGGCATTTGTTGCATCCAGTGGGGACATAATTTGCAACTTTAGGGATCTTATCTATTCACGAATAGCTTGTAATACTTCAAAGAGAAAGGAAATCGCATCATATGACCCCTTTAATAGACAGCAATTTTCAAAAAAGCACAATCATAATGTAATACAATATTAATAATAATAAAAATAAAAAATTAACATACACTAAATATAAAATAAGACAGAAATTAAAATAAAATAATAGTTCTCAACAGATACCAATTTTCAATAGAAGACATAAAAAAATAAAGATAAGATAATATACAAGATGTAAAATAAAATAAAGATAAAATACGATATAAAATAAAGATACCAATTTTCAATAAAAGACAAATAAGAAAATAAAGATAAAATAATATATAAGATGTCAAATAAAATAAGATATAAAAATAATCTAAGATATAAAAAAGATACAAATTTTCAATAAAAGAAAAATAAAATTAAATAAAGATGAAAACTTAGATATAAAATAAGATATACAAATTAAATAAAGATAAAATAAAATATAAAAGACACAAATTTTCAATAAAAGACCAATAAAATAACAATATAAAATAAAAATTAAATAAGATATGAAAATTAAATAAATTAAGATATAAAATAAAAAATAAAGATAAAATCAGATCAAACAAAATATGACTAAATAATATGACAATAAAAAAAGATATAAAATAAAAAAGCGAAAATTAAAATAAGAGAAAATAAGAGATAAAAAAATAAACAAATATATAAAGATACCAATTTTCAATAATAGACAAAAAATTAGATAAAATAAAATGGATATATTAAGATCTTAAATAAATTAAGATATAAAATAAAATAATATAAAATAAAGATATAGAATAAAATAAAATACAATATAAAATAAAATAGTTCTTAACAGATACTAATGTGCAATAAAACAATAATACAAAATAAAGATAAAATAAAAAAATAAAATAAAAAATTAAGATAAAATTAAAATTAAATAAAGATTTAACAAATATATATTTTAAAATAAAACAAAACATAGTTCAACTATGATAAAATTTCACTTGTGTTACCTTATTACTTGGTTCCAACTTCAAGGCCCTTTTCAGTGTTTTAATGGCTTCAGCATACTCGCCCTGCAGAGCCAGTACCTGCGGACACAAACACACGTCAGCACTTTTTCATCTCAACACATCTCAAGCTGTTCGTTTTTTCCTCTGCTGTGGCTGGAAACCTAAACGGAACCAAACGACTGAACAACCCGCTTTCGCTTTGTCCAAACCAAGGAGTGCATTACTATTTAATGAGAGTGAGTGAAAACAATATGCATCTGAACCCAGTAAACCAACCTTGCCTTTGCGGAACAGGGCTTTGACATTGTCCGGCTGGTGCGCCAGGACGGAGACGCAAGAGCGCAGTGCGGCTTCATAGTGGTCTAGTTTGAGTTGAGCAGCGGCCATGTTATTGAGACATTTCACCTTCATGTCCAAAAGTTCTTCCTCTTCTTGTTGACTGATGTCCACTGAGATAAAAGAGTAATATGATTGCAGACAAAACCATAAAATGATTTATTAGGAAATAAACTGAATGACTCATGAATGAAGCAGTATCACCTCTGGATGTCGCTTCAGTTATCTGTAGAGCGATTCCGTACGAGTTGATGGCGAAGGCGTAGTCGGTGCGCTGGTAGTGGATGTTTCCTCGCTCTCGTTTTCTGTTGGCCAAACTGATTCGCTCAGAGGGCAGCATGAGCTCCAGGTCTGGGGCGTCTTCTGCCGACAACAGCTGCACCTCCAGGATGAGATCAGCGTCAGGAGGCACAGCAGGAGTAGAGCTGACAGAGGAGATGGACAGGGTTAGGAGTCACGCAGACCATGTTTAACACAGAAAATATTACTGCAATGTCATACTTCTGTTCAAAAGTTTGGAGTCGTGCGATTTTTAATGGTTTTGAAAGAAGCCTCTTAAGTTCACCAAGATTGCATTTATTAGATCAAAAATACAATAAAAACAGTAATATTGTGAAATGTTATTACATTTTAAAATAACTGGAATCTATACGAATACATTTTACAATGTAATTTATTCCTGTTGCAAAGCTGAATTTTCAGCATCATTACTCCAGTCTTCAGTGTCACATGATCCTTCAGAAATCATTCTAATATACTGATTTGATGTGCTGCTCAAGAAACAGTTCTTATTATTATCAATGTTGAAAACAGTTGTGCTGCTTTATATTTTTGTGGAAACTGTTAATATATAACTGTTAAATTTAACTTTGATAAATAGAAAGTTCAAAATAATAGAAAGAAAAAAAACTGAAATAAAAATCTTTTCTAACATTCTAAATGTCTTTACTGTCAAATTTGATCAATTTAATGTGTCATTGCTGAATAAAAGTATTCATTTCTGTAAAAAATGTTTTTATCATAAATGTAATTATATAGAATTATGGTACTGAGTATATAAATGGTATTTGCTTTATACATACATACACACATATATATATATATATATATATAGTATCTCACAGAAGTGAGTACACTATTAGACAGCATTGTTTTAATTTTTGTTTTGATCTCAAATAAGTCTTGCTGTTTTGCTTTTTTGTTAAAGCAGTGTTTCTGTTGTAAAGTTGTACTTTGTCCACCTCTGCTGACCCCCCACCCCTTCAACCTCTGCAGCAATGCTGGCAGCACTCATACATCTATTTCCCCAAACACAACCTCTGGATATGACGGTGAGCACGTGCACTCAACTTCTTTGGTCGACCATGGCGAGGCCTGTTCTGAGTGGAACCTGTCCTGTTAAACCGCTGTATGGTCTTGGCCACCGTGCTGCAGCTCAGTTTCAGGGTCTTGGCAATCTTCTTATAGCCTACGCCATCTTTATGTAGAGCAACAATTCTTTTTTTCAGATCCTCAGAGAGTTCTTTGCCATGAGGTGCCATGTTGAACTTCCAGTGACCAGTATGACAGAGTGAGAGCGAGAGGGACAGCAAATTTACACTGTTATACAAGCTGTACACTCAGTACATTACATTTTAGCAAAGTGTCATTTCTTCAGTGTTGTCACATGAAAAGATATAATAAAATATTTACAAAAATGTGAGGGGTGTACTCACTTCTGTTTGTGTGTGTGTTGTGTGTGTTTGTGTGTGTAATATTAACCTTAAAACATTTCCATGAAAACTAATATATATTCTGAATCTAACCTGCCAAGGGCACCGTATGCATATTTAGCGCCTGCTTCAATCAACGCCTTTTCGCTCATTTCCATCAGCTGTACAGTAAGATCCAGCACCTAATTATAATAGGAACAACAAAACATATCATGTTTTTAATCATTTGTTTTTAGAAAACAATTGAGGGTCCTGAAAATGTAAGGTATAAATAAAAGTAACATTTAAAAAAATACAGTAGATATAATAATACCTGGAGGACGTCCCCATCACCAAGTGTAAAAGATACGTTTGGCAGCTCTTCTACCACAGTTCCATCAGTAAGAGTGGTTTTAAGATGAATTGTGACATTTTGGCCTCTCTGGGGTCTGCTGTCTAGACCAGCTCCGGCTTCCACAACTTTCTTTCTAAGCTGCCCATTTCCTGTATTTTCAAAAAGAAAATATTTTATAACAAGCTAAAAATCCCCATCATACTTTACTCCACCGCTGTGACATCCAGACGCATGAATGCACTGGCAAAATGTGCTGGATATTTTCCATTTATAGTGTTAATCTCTATCATTTAATGAATTATTGCTGCCACAATGACTACAAAATGTGTACAAAAAAATTTACCTAAAACATCCAGCCACTCTTCCAGTTCTGTAGAAGGAGTTCGATCTGCAACTGCATCTGCTTTTGTAGCGTCTTTCTTCTTTCCTCCACCTGCATCTTCTAAAGGCGGGAGGTCATCATCCACGTCGTCTTCAACATCATCCAGCATTGAAAAGTCTTCCCCACTATCGAGCAGCGAGGCACGTCCAGATTTCTTACCAGATGGCGCCACCTCCTGGTTATCAGCAGAGCCGTTCACAATCTCACTGTCGGCCATCTGGACGCAATTCTAAAAGAGCGAAAACAAGTTTCCCTAAAAGAATAGTTCACCCAAAAATGAACATTTGCTGAAAAGGTACTCACCCTGAGGATATTCTAAATGTAGATGAGTTTGTTTCTTCATCAGGTTTGGAGAAATTTAGCATCACATCATTTGATCACCAATGGATCCTCTGCAGTGAATGGGTGCCGTCGGAATGAGAGCCCAAACAGCTGATAAAAGCAGCTGGATTTGTTTCTTTCAAACATGCAGCTTTTCACTTCACAAGACATTAACTGATGGACTGGATTTGTGTGGATTATTGTGATGTTTTTATCAGCTGTTTGGACTCTCATTCTGATGGCACCCACTCACTGCAGAGGATCCACTGGTGATCAAATGATGTGATGCTAAATTTCTCCAAACCTGTTCTGATGAAGAAACAAAGTCATCTACATCTTGTATGGCCTGAGGGCGAGGACATTTTCAGCAAATTATAATAATTTCTCTGTAAACTATTAATGTCATTCCAATGATAGCAGCAGCAGCATAAAGTTCGTATGGAACAGAGCAGCTTAGACATTCTGCTAAACATCTGCTTTTGTGTTTCACACACAAACATAGTTAAACAAGTTTCCTCCCACCTATTGTTTAACGTACACACATTTATGCACTACTTTATATGGATTTCTAGGATAAGCTCAACCTTTTTTAAAACAAAAATCCTCAGCAAGAAGCTCAGCCTGTGACATTACGCATAAAGTGAAAATCTCGAAGAATCAGTACACATTATTCGCCAATGGCAATCTCTGTAAATAATAAACCAACACTGGTTGACTTTTAACTACCCATGTCATCTCCTCTCAAGCTTTTATGCTTGTGCACAAAACAGTATAGGCCTACTTATTACTGTTTACAAAAATCATTTCAATTAAGTGTTTATCATTACACTGCCAAAGGCATTCAGCAGGACATTGTTATATTCATAAAACAGGCCACATTTAGTTTTATTCCAATCACAATTACATCAAAGCAATATCGGAAACAAATGAATAAATGATCATTAAAAATACAATCACTTTAAAAACAATGACAATCAACTGTAAAACTGCATAATACGCCGACCGAATCTTTACAAAAATACTATGGTCCTGAATGATTGCCATATTGACATGTCGTGGTATTTACATAATAATCCAAATACTCACAACGTGCAAAACAAACATGGTATTAACATGGTACTTGTTGGAAAAGAAACCCTAGTTATCGCAGAATAAGCAAAACGGGTATTTATTACAAATATGATCGAATAAACCTTCGTTTAAATTAAATTATATTTCAATGTCCATCTTATAAGTATGGATAAGCTAATAAAACCCTTATGCAAATACTGTGGTGTTATGGAACGTAATGATTACCGTATTTATAATTTAAGGTTTTATATGATAACGTTACTTTAAGTAATCGCGACATTACCGTAGTAAACTCGCAAAAAAAACGTGGCACTACCATAGTACTTTTTTTTTTCTTTTTTTAGAAAACAAACTCTAATTGTCCTAGAATACGCTAAAATTGTAATATAAAAACATTCACAAATATTCATTTAAATGAAATGATTTTAATGTGCATCTAATATGTGTGTTGTAAATATATTGAGTGTAAATCCTGAGACTTACGACAGCAATTTAACATTTATTGAATGAGGTCTCTTGTATTTAATTACGAGTGGGCGAGCATGCATTCCCGAGACGATTTCAAAAACCTGCGATTATTAGCAGAAATGACCGCATTTCCAGAACATTCCGGCAACTTTGATAACGAGGTCGCGCCACAACTTACTGTGCTACACACAGCGTGCCGAAACAACTCTCGTGTAAAGCTTTATGTGCACTGAATGCTTTAAAAGTGGGCTGAGAAATGAAATGACATGAAAATACTTACCGCGTTGGGAGAGGAAACCTGCACGGAGGTGCGCAGCAACAACTTTGACAACAAAACACGATCAATCTGTGCAGCTTCCGGGTAAAGGTCAACGGTCAATCCCGACAAGTACAAAATAAAAGTCACAAAGTCAAGGTCGTTGCAATGACTGCAGGGGACTTTTATATTAAATGTTTAAGCTAGTTTTTAAAATATAAATGCGTATTATACGATGTAATTTTGACTAAAATTACCACTTAATACAATAAAAAAATATTTATAATATACCTGTTTTATATTCATAACATTTTTATTTATAATATACCTGTATATAGATCTACAATTAAACATTTATTTTACTATATTTATTAAGTTATATAAATGTTTATCATATTTTATAATTATTTGGTTTGTTTTTATAGGGCATCTGGGTTTCACTCAAATTATTTCATTTAAAAAACAAAACCGGAACACATAAAATATCAAATTACATTTATTATTGATGCAATCATTTCTTTTTGATAAGCAAATTTTCTGTTTTGTTTTTTTTCTGTCTAAAGAAACTTTACAATATAAAGAAACATACAAAGGACATATTTAGCTACACAAGACACCTAAGGCCCTAGGACAAAGATCTGAGCTACCCTACTATAAAATACAAAGCAAACCCAGTGGGACAGACTGCTTCATATTGAATACTGTCATGTCGCAAGAAAGGACGATGAAAATTACAGGAGAAATTTCTGTCATTCCCTCCCATGATCCTTCCTGCTCTAAAATACACATTTTCCTCTCAAACATTTCTAATGTCACAATATTATACATCACAACAGAAGTGCAGAGATGGCCAACAACTGGACGTTGAAGCAGGTCAGTGAGCAACTACACAATACCAGCCTTCAGGACCCTTAATTCGATGTAAAATGGCTGAAATTTCTAATATGGTAACACATTTGATGGTTAATTGCTCTGATCTTGTGTTTTCACATTCATATAGACTCACAGTTATCTTTCTGTTTTGTTCAAAAATCTCTTGAGCAACAAGACATTTTCTTCACACCAACTGTGTGTTTGAGGAATTATTTGTGACCATCGATCTGCCGCTTTTTACAGCAAAAGCATCTCTTTAAAATACAAAAACACAAACGGATTCTTTATAACTTATTTTCAGCTGTACTCATTGGTTGTGACTGACATATCAAAACATGTCAATGATATCAAAATGCATTTTACAGTATTTACAGTAAACCAAAGGTCAGGGGTGAGGGGCAAGAAAGGTAAAGGGCTGCGTACCAGACAAACTGAAGACAAGCATGGAAATCCATTCAGAACTTACCAGGAGGCTGAGCCTGGTTCTCTCAGATGGCCAAAATACACCGTGAACTTAATAGTCACTGGACAAAAGCATTTTAAACTGGAATGGATTTTTCATCCTGTAATGAAGCACTGAATAAATAAGTGTAGGCATGAAATGGCTGGTTTAATGAGGTTACAAATTTGTCAACAGGAATTTTTGTCAATTATTCATTTATATACAAAAGAGAATCTCACTAAAACGGTCAAAGTCATATTTCACCCAAAAAAAAAAGAACAAAAGAATGATTATAATTTTTATTTTTGTTAATATAAAAACAATTTTATGCAATTTTATATATATATATATATATATATATACACACATACACACACGCACGCATTGTAACAATTATTATTCATTGTTATTTTATATTTTATGGTTTATTTTTCATACAAATATTAAATGTTATTACTATATTAATTTAAAACAGTAATACAAATTAGAATCTATTGTTACTTTTAACAATTATTATTTTGCAGCATTTCTTATTTTATTTTCATAATAATTAAGCGCATTCCATACGTATATACTTTAATGCCATTAAACCCTATTTTATTATGCAAAACTAATTAGAATATTCATAGAACATAATAGAATTTGCTGTATTCCTTGTAAAACTGTATATATATATATATATATATATATATATATATATATATTATAT